CATAGGAAAAAGCTTCTAAAATGAGTATACAAGGGAAGTAATGTTGGATCTGTAATATTTCAAACACAACAGGATGTGCATTCATGTAAATGTGTATGCAAATTAGATGCAGCCCTCAGGCTCTTGGCAAGAGTCCAGTGATGCCCTTGAGGCTGCAAACTGTTGATTTAACATAGGAGCCTAACTACTTACACTAAAATGAATGCATTAAAATAATACTGAAAGAATGTATGTATCAGAGATTTTTAAATAAGGCAAATATTGATATAGGCCCTGGGTAGCTCCCGTGAACGTTTGATTTCCACTTGGAAAATCAGACTTGGTGTTTTTTCCTCTTTTTATGTGAAATAAACAATGTCTTGTCAATGTAAAAATGTGAAGCTTCAATCAGTTGTGCTGATGTCATTTTTTCTTGTTTTGATTTTTTTTTTAAGATAAGTATGTCACAATCAACAAACCTGATTATAAATAGATTTGATTAACAAATTTGATTTATCAAATACATCTCTTGTACTCCTCTCATGCTGCACAGGAAAAGATTTTGGTCTGAATTATAGGTTTGTTTTACACTACTTAAATAATAATTAGGCTTGAAGACTTTTAATGTTAATTCTCATTTCCCCCTTCCTAATGTTTTCCTTTCTCTATAACATAAATCAGCATTTCTGACAGAAAACCTTAATTATGAAACTTATCAAAATCTTATCTTCCTGATCAGTCCCACAAAATAATGTATCAAGACCTGTAAGAAAAAAAAAAAAAGAAAGAAAAAAAAAAAGATACTACATACCTCAGTGAATTTGAATTGAAAATATAAGAGTTGCTCAAGTATTAATTGTTTTAAGTAAATTAGGGAGAAAAATATTTCTGCCATTTTTGTTTGTAATATTTGAGAAAACAGATATATATCCATAGTGATATATACATATATGTATATTTTCTCAGAAGATTGATTGAGCTTGATTATTCACATCTAATATTTGACCTAATATTTGGCTCTGCAACTCAAGAGACTTAATGGATCCCTCTCAATGTCCCATCTGCAGAAAATTTAGACCTTAATCTGTGGAGGATGCACCAAAAGAAGAAGCTGGAAACATTAAGACCTAAATGTACAAACACAAAAACAGATATAGTTTGTGAATGGATGAATTACTCATTGCTATCTTTACATTTGACTGAACACTGCTATAGCACTTTTGAATGCTCATCGTTTTCTGTCCTAGACAAATCCATCTTTGGTGGTGCTTTAAAAGTAACTGAAAGTGCCCATCTGCTCTTGGATGCTTAGTTTTTTTCCTTCTGCCTCATGGTCCAGTAGAAGAGAGAATATTTCTTCACATAATATTATTGTGACTTTTTTTTTCATTTTAAATGATCATTAAATCTTAATAATGTATTTGCAAGTTACAATGTAACCAAACAGAAAATATCTCTTTCCCAAATCAGTTAGCCTAAATGACAGATCAAATGAGTAAAAAGAAAAGAAAAATTGCAAGAAGAGGCATAGAATTAACATAGCAATTTGTTTAGGATATATATCATGGTGGAATTTGTAAATATCATCCTTTTCCATTTTATGAGAAAACATTTTTATTTTTAAGGGAAGAATGTGTCTTCATGATCTAATTTCTTGTGGAATATTTTTAGAGGTGTTACAGTCATCAAGACAGACATTTGAGAAGACTACAAACAGAAAAATATGGTTGTGCACAGTTGTTTTTAACTAAAGTTGCAGTTTCAGATTGCCCATAGTTACAGGAAATGTGAAAAATAAACAAGCCAACAAGCACATATAGTATCAAATATCGTCTGATTGTTTTGGAAGTCCAAAACTCCAGGAACACCTTTGTGGCAGAACATTAACATTGATAAAGAAACACAAACGATTAAAGGTTGTTTTAAACTGCATGAATTTGCATGCAGATGTAATGCAGATATTCTTTGCACAATATAACATGTTAATTCATTTTCATGAAAACACTGGAATTGTTTACAGACCAGCAATCTATTTAATCATGCATCATGTCTCCAAACATGATCAGAAGCCTGTTTCAAAAGGTAAAAAATGCACTACGGTATGTAGTTATATTATCCAAAGAACCAAAGGAAAGGATAGTTGTATCCCTTACCTTTGATTCTGGATGCTCATTTGTGCACTGAAGCATTGTGTTTTATCCACAGTACTGTGTATTTTGATTTGTGTTTTGTCTTGCCTGTTCTGATTTTTTTGTTTGTTTGTTTCATTGAGGTACACATTCCCAAAAGGATAGCTGAGTTTTTCCTAGTAAGGATATGAGTAATATGAAGCATATTAATATTCTCAGTTCTTTCTTCCTAAATATAAACAACTCTTTTAGTAGGGTAGAATCTAGTATACAGCATATTAAAAAGCCTTCCGGAATCTAACTAAAGTTGACTGATAAAAAGGAAGGGAAAACAAGCAATTCAAAAAATATCTAAATATCTAAAATATCTAAAAATGAAAATATATCTAAAAACTATCCTTTTAGTCTTTTTCTTTTCAATTAAATGAAGTTTTATGTACATGCAAATACATGAGACATGGAATTGCTACCTGGGAGTGAATCATAACTGATAGTGTCAAATACTAAATAGATTCTGAACGTATTATTTTTTGTTAATTAGTCAGCAATCAAAAAATGATTGTGTATTACTTAGAAAACTTATACATTTCACAATTTCAGGGATTTCTAAATGTGGGGAAAAAATCATCACCTGTTCCAATATGTTAGTATTGGATTTGTCAGAAGGGAGTTATGGCGAAGTGAGGGAACGTTTCTTGGACTGCCTTTGCAAATCCCAGTTTACCTCTCATGCAGAAGATTTGAGCAGGGCTCTGGAGATCAAGGCAGACAAGGCTTCTGTGAATAAACCCATGCAGAAATTTACAGGCTAGGTTCACTCCGCTCCCTGAAGCAGTCTAGGAGGGGAAGGCACACAGATGGGTGATGGCCCTCCCTGTCCTCAGGTCCTGCAGGGTGTTACTACTGCCAGATCTTCCCCCAGGTATAATCGCAGGGATGGTAAGATCTGCAAGTCTATGGAAAGCCTGTTGTCTAACTCGGTTATCAGTATGTTTTAATAAACAATCTGAAAATATTCTATTTACACCATGGATCTGGACCATTATTTCATGGCTTTCCAATGTAAAAACTGTAGTGTTTCAAAAATCTGTGTGGAGAGAAAACAAAACAAAACAACAACAAAAAAAGCCTTATCTGTCTGCTCCTGTGTTCAGTGCTCAACAGAAACAGGTTTTTATGTTTAGTTAAGTGTTCTAACAATAGAAATCTGTAATGCAAATATTCCCAATCTCAATGAAAGTAAGCTATAAAATGAGTGTTTCATGTGTCAGTACTGTTGCATCTGATGTGAAAACTGTTTTCTAGAGACCTGCTGCAGTCAATTACCCAAATCAGATTTGCGTATGGACTACCACTTGCATTTGTATCCATCTCATAAACAGTGGGGGTGTGTAGAGAAAACTTGGTCATTTTGTGGTGTTTGTAAAAAACATTCGACATGTGGAACATTCATTACCTAAATCATTAGGAAGCAGGGTTTAATTTTGTATTATAGCACAGAATTGCTTTGAAAATGCAGCTATTAGGAGACATTTCTTTCAGAGATTGCTTTGCTTCTGCATTTCTATATTTTAGCACTTTTGTTACTACCTTTTCCTGCCAATAAATTTTCTTAACAAAGAAGGAAAATTTTGCCTGTGCTTTGAAGGAAGCAGACTAGTTTTAAAGGTTGCTGCAGCTCTGCGTAATGAATGTTGAGATTGCAGAGGTAAGTCAGATCAGAGGGATAGGTAGAAGGACAGTCTGCAGCAAGATTGTGTGATCCAGCAGGCAGCCACCGGATGAGACTGGACTCTATGTTGGTTCTGCTGGGTTTTCATCTGTTATGCTTGAAGAGCCAAACACTGTCTTGCACCTGCAGGTGACCAGCTCTGAGCTGAGGTTAGCTGCCACGATGGATGGGACAGGAGAAATATCCTCCATATAACAGAAAAATGAAGTGGTTGCTGCCATGCCACAAGTTCTGCATGTATTCTTGTATGTAAAGGACCTGGCACTCCCAAGGAGGTAAATTTATATTTACTTAAGTAATAACTAAGGTAGCTGAAAAATACAAATTGGCTTCAGATGGTCTTTAATAAAGACCCTTGTTACCAGTGGTCTGATCCAATAAATGTAGTAGATTCTAAATCACATCTTACATTAAAAGCCTCATAATTAACATGCTTTCAACTGCAAGTTGCATTTTGATTTGCTCTTCAATTCTGGAAATGGACTGAGAGCAGCTATTTCCAATAAGAAACATTCAGCTAAAGATTTGCTCAAAAGAACAGTTGTTGCTTTACATAATACCTGCAGAGACACTGAATTTATCCAAGTATCCTCTAGTGCTATGAATGACATACTGCAGTCAGTAGGTTGGGTATTTTGACTGTACCAAAGCAGTTCTTGGCAGAAAATAGGATGTGCCTCCACGGTGCTGTAGAACCAAGAACTCCATTTATGCATATTTATTTGAAAGATCAGTAAAAATTAATTCATGTCAATCATAAGAGTGCACTAAACTATATTTAGAAAAGAAAAAAAAAAAAAAGTGCAAGGGAAAACATAAACTATATGTACCTGTAGGAAAATATAAGTCTGGCTATAAACATGATTGCTGAACACACATGTAAAGATTGTCTCAATGACCTAATACTTCTGTAAGGGACATTTGTAGCATTAAAATTATACAATGATCATTGAGAGTGCTATCTTTAGTGTGTCAGACCCACCTCTTAACAGTCTTCTTCATTATAAATGTAATGCTTTGATTCAAGTAAGGAAATGATTAGGACAAAATTTGTTATTTTCCAAATCAAGCTTTTTTTACTAATCAAAACATCTCTCCTGAAAAGCAGGTAGTGAATCTGGAAACATGTCTGAAGGTTTCTATCAGAGTACTTCCCGTACCTTTATGGCAGTGGAGGCTATCTGGATGTGGTGGAGTCTGCGCAGAGTGCTGTCCCTGTCAATGAAGTAGGAGGCTGCAAGCTGATGCAGAGTCTCCAGAGTCACTGCAGAGCTGTTGGTGCTAGGATCGCTTCCTTCTGATCTCTTGCTCAGCTTCCTTTTGTCCACAAAAATTGTGAGTGACTCCTCTCCTGAGTATGGAAACAGAAACCACAGCATTCATCAGTGACATCATCTACAGCTTTTGTTTTGCCAGAAATAAGGTGGCAAGCTATTGTTTTCCACAGCAGTTAGATAAACACCCTGCTGTCATACTTAGCTACTTTAGTGCCTAAGCACATGAATGAGGACTTCCATGGGTCTAGTGGTCTGACCAGTGTTTATCCTCCCTCTCTGACATTTCTGAGAATTTATCCACCTTTATTAAGGTAAAAAACAACACTTTCTATTTTTTCCATATGAAACATCTCTGAAAAATCAACTGAGAATTACTGTTCTTTTCCTTTTTTTTTTTTTTTTAATGCCTTGTAAGAATAGCGACAATAAAATTGAACATATTTACATATTTATGCCTAAAAAGCAGTGACACCAGGGATAAATCTTCTACACTAATTCCAACTTTTTATATATAAATATTATGTAGACTTTCAATCTTAATCATATAAAAATGTGTCTGTATACAAGGTTGCTCAATACCTTTGTTGTTTTTTTTTTAGTATTTAATGTTAACATGAAATATAACCAAAATAATGTTTGCGTCTTTTTGTTATTTCCTTCTTTTGAAATATAAATCTCACTTGATTTCAGAAAAAGAAAGATAATACCTTCTTATAATCTTTATAAACTGTCAATATGTTTATGCTGTGTAATTAATTCAGCAATGATAAGATGCTTGAAACCTGATTTAACAGATCTCTTAAACCAAATTCATATCATGAAAAAGTATAAAAAATATGTAATCAGAAGTTTAATCAGTTTCTTTAAAAGCAAGCAAACAAACAAACAAATAAAAAGGGTCAGGGGGTGTGGAGGGGACAAAAGTAACACTTCCCTAACTTCTAAAGCAGATTTGTTCTTCCAAAAGACAAGAGAAGCTCTAGCATCTTAGGTTGTGGTTTTCTCATTTCTATCCTCTCTAAATAGACATGGGCAAATACTTGAGTTTAGAAAATTTAATTCCCATAGGATAATTAAAAACGAAAACAAAGCAAAATCTCATCCATTTAACTGAGCAGGTTCTTAAAAACAGTTTAAGTAAAGAGTTACTGGGAATGTTAAATTTGTAAGGAATATTCTACATTAATTGTTTACATTGTGGATGTTTTTTTTCCTGTATTTCAGGCTAAACAAGAATTCATTCACTTTGTGTTTTATTTAGACAAAGCTCTTTTCTTCAGAAAATAAAATAGAAAAATAATTTATTGACTAATATTTTCTTCTGTGCAACTTATGTAGAAAGTAACTACTAAAACACTTTTCTCACTTTCCAAACCTTTATTTGGTAGGCAGCATTCTTCTGTGTTAATTTGCTCAAGAGTCAATAAATAATATCATTATACCTGTATTTTATGTGCTGAACAGCTCCACAGAATGCTGTTTCCTCACTCCTGGAAAGGAAACTACACTGATATGGCCTAACTTACCACTCCAGTTTCATTGCTCATGCATCTGCCTTGGTGGCATTTTGCCCGTTCAAGGGAAATGATGGCAATTTCAGATGGGCTTATGTGCCAACAAATATAGCTGTAGAGGAATACTGTGTAGGACAAAAACATGACATCTTATTTAAAAGGACATAATTTTGGTGGTGAGCAATGTTAAATGAAGAACTCATGTCTCTATGCAGAACACATCTGCTGACACACACAGCTACTTCTGCTTGAAGAAAATTCATTTGTGTTTGGAGAAAGAGGAATGTGTTCATATTAATTGATTTATACTGTTTCCCAGTCTCTCACAAGTTCAGAGGACAGACAGGCTCTTCAGCCCATACACAGGCAAAACTTGTGTTATCCAGGATTCTCGTATCTAACTAGACCTTCCTGGCTTGCCCAGTATATTCATTTCATCCTGGAAGGGAAAGCTGCTGCCCAGAATATTCCAGCTGGTGTCTACCTCATTTTTTTTGCCACTCTGTTTATGCTTCCCCTTCAGTAGTTTCCTTTTGGGTAATACTTGTTTTCTTTTCTTTTCTTTTCTTTTCTTTTCTTTTCTTTTCTTTTCTTTTCTTTTCTTTTCTTTTCTTTTCTTTTCTTTTCTTTTCTTTTCTTTTCTTTTCTTTTCTTTTCTTTTTCTTTTCTTTTCTTTTCTTTTCTTTTCTTTTCTTTTCTTTTCTTTTCTTTTCTTTTCTTTTCTTTTCTTTTCTTTTTCTTTTCTTTTCTTTTCTTTTCTTTTCTTTTCTTTTCTTTTCTTTTCTTTTATTGTGGTTTGTTTGTTTGTTTGTTTGTTTGTTTTGGTGCATGCAGTCATCGAAGCAGGTTTTAATTGCTTGAACTCCAAAAAACAGAAATCAAAACAGTCTCCATAAGTAACAGGATTTCCCCATCCAGTTACCTAATCTGTCTGCTCTAATAAATAGACATGCATTCACATTGTATTTAATTGATGCCAAAACCTCCTGCAAAGCAGACTAGGTTCATTTGGCAGGAGAGGCATAAGCATGTTTTATGAGCACAGGCGTGTGTGCCACATTTTGCCACACCACCCTGATGTGAGATGGTGCGGGTCTTGTGGCCAGATGGGCCATTACCCACACTGGGATGTTGCCACCCTTCCTGCAGTGAGCAGAGGGAGAAACACAGAAAAGTCTCATGGCTGGTGCCTTGAGAGAAATTTGCCATCAAAATCTGCTCTAGATTCCAGCACTGTTGGCTTTCAGTTATGCCTATGAAATAAAACCTGCCTTTTCAAAAGTTGCCCTGTGACACTAGTCACAATATGAAATGCCTTTCTGAAATGAAGAGCGATGGAGTGAGCTGAGATGGGAGCAAGGGGCTATGGGCTTTGTGCAGTTTTTTGTGGCACTTTAAAGACACAGCTGTATCAGAATAGACAATACCACAACTCGCAGGCAGTAAACACTAAATCAGAGGTCAGTACAGGCAATGCAAAAAAGGTGTAATTTTTCATTAGGAGATTTCATTTGCTTTTTTCCTTTTTCCAGGTGTCTCAACTAATGTATTTAGATTAAAGTGAATATTGGAAGCTCAGTCAGCTTTCCACTGAAAATCTGGACAGTAGAAGGGAAAAAAAAAGAACAAAAAAAAAAAAAAGAGGTTCTTTGTGTTTCACTGGGCAGTGAACAAACTTCTGGTTTAAACTCAGAGAGTCCTTTCGATTGATCTATGTTAGAGATTAGTAGGGACAGTGAGGCTGTTTCCATCAAAATCATATTTCAACAGAATTCTGATAAGCTTTATTATTAAAAGAGACTCTGTTTGTTTTTCTCCCATCAGAAACAGTTGCTCTTCAGGGGGTGAAGATCAGAGTAGTGATAAAAATCCTCCCATTTCCAAAAAGAACCTTGAAAAAGAACAGTGTTGTATGTTGCTTTGTTTTGTTTTTATTAGAAAATGTCAAGAAAAATAACCTTTGAATCTCTTCACAGCTATCACATCATCCTATCCTCATGGTATTGTTTGACCCCATACTTTCTGCAGCAGTTGCCAGTGGGTGGATTTTGGCAGGCAGGATCCCCTGCCAGCATCCTACGCTCATCCCCAGCCCTGTAGTCTCTGTCCCTGCTCCATAACAGATATGTTTTGTTTCTGTAACTGGATTGAAATGATTTTGCATGTTTGTTTTGATTTAGATCACATCAGATTACATTTCCCAAGGTTGAGCGAAGGCACACAGCTGGAGTGAAGGGGCCTTTGGTGTAAAAATGAAGGAAGCTCTTTCTCCTCAAAAATCTCTGCATCGTTCTTGAATGGCATGCCAAACTAATTCATCACTAATATTCTCAGGCACTGTGGTGCAATCAGATACAGTTCAAAAGTATTTGATGTTCAAAAGGCATTTCGCATATTCAGGAAGTATTTAATCTTACAGCGCTGATATAGCAATTGCTAGATAAAGCATTAAAGTGGACTGAAAAACAAAGACCTCCACCATACTTTGTTACTTGGGCTCTACCATGTAACTGGAGAGTTGTAACAGGGTTCCCTTTTGCACCCAGAACTGTTGGCTTTGTAAAGTAACACCATTGATTCATGTTTAATTACTGGGAGACAACTTGAATTTTAAATTTATTTAGGAAAAATTAAACCCATGCCAAAAGAAACTCTTCTGTCACACTTGAAACATGAATGTATTTATTTATTTATTTATGAACTAGTTATAGTCTGAAAATGGCTAAAAAGACACCTAGGCTTTAGCTAAAAATTAACTGTAGTTGTAGAAAACTATTCAAGGTTATGTATTTTAAAAACTGAAATGGATTATGGCAGGGAATACAAAGAAAAAGTGGTTATTCAGCACTGGATCCATACAACTGTGTCTTCTGTAGGCTCTAAAAGCAGTATTCTCTCTACTTCACGAAATTCAAGAGTCAGTCTACTTCATTTTCTCAGGGTTAAAAGAGATAGCATAAAAACATTTGGTCATCCTTACAAAAAATCCTCACATGATCCAATGACTGGTTCAAGAAATTAGCAGACTTATATGCTGATGCTTTATTACCATGTAGCTGCTGCCACTGATACAGATATTCAGCTGGGGACTGGGGACTGACATTCACACTACAGACTGACCTTGGCACAATATACACTAAAGTCCCTGTGAGCCTTGGAATTTGCAAGCCTATACCTTAGCCTATATATTTCTTTCTTTCTAGATTTATTTTGCAGGATTTTTACTTATAAGTTAAATGACTGAGTTGAGATAAATATTCTATGAGCTGTTTTTAAGAAATGAAATAAAATAAGTATGTAGAAATTTACCTAGACAAATAACCCATCCATTTATATATGACTCCTAAACAGCAGTTTATAAATGGCATTCAGATATCAGAAAATAATTTTGTGTGTATCTTATTAATATATTCACAAATTATCTAAATAAAAAAATGCAAATAATCTTTTGCATAGTAGAATAGAATAATGCCATAACAACTGTAACTCAATAATATATATAAATCAATATATAAATCAATAATATATTGGAGTAAATGTATTTTGTTACACATAATAATACATCTTCATATGTTTTTAATTTTTAGCCCTATTTTATGCTTCAATTATTTAGAGATTGTTTTCTTGTACCCACAACTTTGTAATGACAAAAGGATCGCGTTCCTTGATGTTTTATATTTTCATGTGTAGACTAGGTAGTGATAGGAAAAAGTAGTGATTCAAGCAACTCTCATCAATTCCTTACAGAAAATGAGGAAATTATAAAAATTAAAATAAAAAAATAAAATATATATATAAAAAAAAAAGAGAGAGAGAGAACACTCAGAGCTGGATACATCTCAGCATTGTCCACAGTTACCTACTTGGAGCTCTATATTCATACATGTAGATGTATCTTAAAAAAGATATAAAGGTCTTTGTTTTGTGCACTTCTCAAATGTTTCTTGTTAAATAGAATACCTCAGTTACAATAGCTGTAATGCAATATAGTATTATATGTATATAAAACCATTGTTATAAAAAATCGCTTAGTACCACTAGAAAATCTATTCCTGTATGAATTACAGAACACACCATCAGATCAATTTCCCAAACCTAAGCAGATGCTGATGGAAGTACACAGCTTCAAATACTATATAAATTAATGCTAGACCAGATGTGTCATCATTTCTGTGGTTCAACTGAATAACTGCACATTAATTCCATATATACCATCTGTGAAATTATTTGATTATTTTCTTCCTTGAGCAGATAGGAAGAGAGAAAAAAGAGAATATATCGTTGGGCTTTTTTCTTCCCCTTAACATCCATTATATTAAATTTACAGACCTAGGGGGGTTTGCATATCCAATAATAAATTTTCAAGGTTCTTTATCACATCAGTTACTTAAGACTGGACTCTCTCTTACTTTTTTTTTCAATACTTTGTACCTTACCTTGAATGAAGTGACACAGAAAGCAAAGATCATATCAGCAGTTAGTGTAAATTATCGTAAATACTTTAGAGTTCATTGAGATTCACTGATTTTCACCAAGTGAAAATCTCTCCCATCTCTATATGCAGTGTAATGTATTACTCAAGAGGAATACCAATCAGGGAAGGAAAATCTGACCCTTTCTTTTTTGCAGTTCACAGAATAGTATAGGTGTGAATATCAAATATGTTTGCATAACTGTAATCAATGGAGAGGAGAAAAACGGGAGGTTGGAATTAAACTGATTTGCTGATATCCTTAAATTGTTGTAAAGATAAACTACTTTTTCTTTTTTTTTTTCTTTTTTTTTTTTTTTTTATCTCAAAGCTTTCAGAGTTATGAGAGATATTTCCTGACCAAAACAAGCGAATGCATTGATGGTCTGGTAATGAGCATTTTGAGCACTTGTCTAACAATAGGAGTAAAAATCTCAAACATTTGAAATTGCCCTTTAGCCAGTTGACCTCTAATGCTTTAATTTCATAACAAGCTTGGCAACCTTCTGCAAATTTGTTTTTTTTTAAGAGCAGTTATGGTGTTCCAGCTGCTAAGAGGACCCACTGTCTTCCTCTTGCAGAGCACCAGAATCAGACTCATTTCACCCAAATGCCAGGAATAAGACCAATAATTTAATCGTAATGGGTCAGTTAGCTGTAATTTCCTCATCACCAAATCTACCCAGTTTGCTAAGCAACTTTGATATCCTTATGTAAGAACAGTGTGAAACGTGGGATCCAATGACATTTTCATCCTCCTACACTTATTCCACGGTGGTGCACTGGGCTTTACAACAATTTTCAGTTCTGTAACTCACTGCTCCATCATATTTGTTGTAAACCATTAAGGCTTATGGCAGCTAATACTTTTGTATATTATTCAGAAGGATGGACGTTCCTTGCACCGTGCTGTAGGCAAGCAAAAGCATTAAGTATAAATGCAGGAAAAAAAAAAGGGGGAGAAAAATAATATTGTGTGTTGTCTCTCACTTGATGAAGAATCTGCTTAACAGCAGTGCTAGTTGAAAGCTGGTAAAGAATTCAGAACTACATTTAATGGAATCAGAGAATAATTTAGGCTGGAAGGAAGTTCAGAACGTCATACAGCCTAAAGCAGTTCTAATTAGATGAGATGTTCAGGGATTTGTCCAATAAAGTCTTCTCTCACCTTCTAGGATGAAGATTACATGTACGAATCCTCTCTTGCCTCTCCTGTCAAACAGTCCCAGCCATTTTTGGATGGGTTGTGTAAATTTGCAATCTTACTAAAGTAAGCAGGACATGTGTCCCCCTAGAAGAGTGGAGGAAAATGCCTCACCTACTAGTGATGGCCCAGCCCGATACAGCATACATTAACTTGTGGCATCACGGAAAATAGAACTTCCCTAAATTCTCATTTCAGAATGCCCTTGAGGAGTATATTTCTGTGTTTGTGAATAAAGACATGGGAATGTCTCACAAACAACTATGTGCAAGAGTTCCCTTTACAGTCAAAAAAGGATATTCATGAAAGCCAAATAGTCACAAGGGCACACAAATCTTACCACAAGATCATTCATTTGCCAATTTTTCCTTTATGGCCATGAATACAGATGACTGGGAATTCATTAAATAAAAGAAATATGTGCACTCTGTTTGGTCTTCTGCTTTTTAGAAGCTGCATAGGTGACAAAGCTTTCAGAATAAAACTCATAATTAAAGAAAAAGTATGATTACATTATTGAAATAAAATAGATGACATACATGTTAAAATATGGACAAGCATCTCTGGGAATTTCCATTCAATCTAGCCCCAAAACAAGAATGAACACATACAGAAAAGTATAGGGTTATTAGCCTCCTTATGAAAGCACTCTTAGAAATTACTATTTTCCCATAATTATTTTAATAATTGAATTTTTCAATGTATTCAGCACCCATCCAATGATAATGGAAGGCTGCAGGTGTGTCTGAAATTATGCCTAAAACTTAAGGCTAGGCACTTAAATCAAAACCTTAAACAGTAAGCTTAGGCACAGTCCTAAGGTCAACATTGTCTCCTTGCAAGTAGTACACTTTTGTAAGTATACAGCAGCTACTGCATTTTAGGGGCTTTCTGAGATGGTATTAAGAGAGAGGAGAAAAGGGGACCCTACCCTGGATTCCCTGCAGGAAATCCTATGGGTTTGTGGATCAAATTTAATGTTTAAGATGAAATTGTCAAATGTCTTTTTCTCTAAAGACCTGTCCTTAGGTTTTAGTTTTTACTTAGGGCTATACTTTCTAAAATGCATTAAGTCTGAAGCTCTTTTGTGATCAGGGTAATATTGGTGCTTTGTACTTTTGAAATAACAATTATAATTGTGTTAGTCTGTTTTTCTTAGGTTGTTAGGTTCAATTTCAACTTTAAAGTGAATTTGATTGTATGGCTGTTTGTACCAAAATTTATGTTAGTTAATAATAAGAAAATAGCTAATAAAAATAAATGTTTTACCACTGCATAATCTTTGCATTACCATACCTGTTGCAGCTAAATCTTTAATTATTGTACATAAATATTTGGTAAAAAATTAATTTCTTTTCTGCAATTAGGTTTACTGTTCAGCTGTGCCACACACATAAGAAAATATATGCTTATTTCTGAAATATGTACTTTTTGTATGAAAGAAATACACGAAGCAAAATAAAAAAAAAAAAAAAAATCTAGGAATTTTATTCCAAATTGCTGGTCAACACATGTAATTTATTCTTAAATTTCAAAAGATTGATGGATTTGCTGAAGAGGCACTAGTTTTGAAAATAATGATAGGAATTAGTTCTGTATTGTTATTTTAATATCTCCAGTAAGGCAGAAATTCACCTTGTTTCTAGAATAGTCTTCTCCAAATGAGAGTTACTGTTAGCCATTTCAGTTCTACAAAGCTCAGATATCAGCCAAAAGAGAAAAGGAAGGCTGTCATTTCCTTAATATATGGTTTGAAATCTGTTATGAAATGTGTTAAAGAGAACCATTCCTCAGGTGAATAAAGGATTTTGACAAGACTGTCCTGTTGGAAGGATACTCAATCACTAGAATTATCTTTAATATAATCACCCACCAAGGGATAAAACTGCATTTCTAAAATGTCAGTTCATTTTGTGATGACTCGATGGGTAATCTCAGGCACTAATTATCTTTTATTCGGAACAATTTATGCTCTCCCTTGGACATTAGGCCTCTTCACTGGATTTCTTCAATCCATTTTATGACCAGATCCCAATTACACATCTAGCTACCCTTTCCAAATTAGTCCATGGAGATTTAGAGATGCAGCTTCCATTAAGGTAATGCTAATCGCATGGAAAAGCCTCTCCATCCCATTCTGAGACTTTTAGTCCCACTGGTTAAGTGGAGAGTAGTCCTAAAAAGGGTAGACTGGCAATATATGGACTTCCAAGCAGTCAAAGTCATTTAAAAGTCTCCTAGGTGAAAAGATTTGTCGGAAACAACTGTTACTGGGTTTGTTGCTTTATCTCTGCAGTCCTGCAATGGAGCCAGACACCTGTGTAATTTGTTATTGTGTCAGATTGTTTTAGGGTCCTCTTACTGAAAACTGTTGCTCAATGACTTCTCAGTTCAGAGCAACATCCCCAAAGGACTAGGATCATGCACACCAGGAACTCAGGCCTAAGTACGTCACTCTTAGCAATGGGCATTCTTTTCTTATTGTCCTTAAAACTGTTTACAAAGAATCAATAAAACAAAGTTTATCATCAGCAGAAGAAGGAGACATAAGGCTGGAAGACAAAACCTGTTCGTGTTCTGTAAAATGTAACTGAGGCATAGTGGCTCAGTTTAGCTGCTCTGGGAACAGAGAACACCACAGTTTTACAAGGAAATCAGTTGACCAATGCTTTTAGTTCAGTCATATCAAACTCATGCACCATATTTCCAAGCATTAACCCTACCTCCCAAGGTAGCCGATAGTAGGAAGTGTGTCCCATACTTCTTGATAAGGTTTTCTGTGATCTGTTGAAGTGTCGGGCGGCGTCCTAATAGCCTTATGTTACGGAAGAATTCAGGGGCAAGTGGCAGTGGGGAGCCAAGGAAATTTCTTCTTTCAACAGCAAGATTGTTTACTTTCCAGCGGCCAAACTCTCTGCAAAGTAAAGTGATTCTCATTCAGAAATATGTCATTCAGACAAATATCTTAATTTGCAAACTACTCTGCTCTGTTGACTAGCTGGGGGCAACAAGCTGGGTATTACAGCAGGCCTTGACAGTGACAGTGTCATGTATCATAGGCATAGGACAACAATAAGTGTTATTTATTGGAAGTGCAGGGAGTATTCCATTACAAAATAACTGTCCAGAAAAAAAAAATAATAATAAAACAATTGGGGATGCTGCTGTTCTTATTGTTTATGTTTAGTCCCTGATATGAATACAGCCTTGAACAAACAGATATGTTAGGAACTGAAAGTCTACTAATAATTTTTCAAACTTTGAAACAAAAGAAATAAATAGTTTCATTAACATAAGGCAACTTTTAAAAATATTTCAAGAAATGGCCCATGTTATTTTCTTTTTGATAATAAGCCACTTAGGTACATAGCTAGCTAATTTGAGCAACATACATTATCACACCACATTTTACTTTACTATGATGTTTCCAAAGTTTGCTGTAGTTTTAGTCTTCATTTTGAAGAAATATACAGGTAGTATGTCTGATTCCTAAAACAGATCACTTTTCAATTGCAGGAGGGATAAAAATTAATTCATAGACTTGTCCCCTGCCTCCCTGCAAAATACATCACTGAGAACAGTGAAAATCACAGGTCAATTACACGGTAATAAACACATCTTTTATCCATTTACATACCAATTAAGATACCAGGTACAGTTTTTACCATTGCTCTCAAAATCTAGACAAGACACTGAATGTCTGCAGCAACTTTGCTTTTCCAAGATACACCAACAGCGACTTTGGTTACAGACTCGAATGTAAGAATTAAGTCCAAGACAACCTTTGGACTGTTGTTTAGCTTTTCCAAGTCCTCTGTCAATTAAGATTTGCCCTCAGATAAAGTTGTAAAAAAGCAAATAGATTAGCGATCTTGAAAGACCCTACTGAAGGTCCCAGCTAAATATAATAAAACATTCGTTTTCAAAATTAATGCAAAACACAAAAATCATGGTTGTAGCTAATATATAACATTTGTGTGATATTTGAAACAAAACAGTTTCATGGGGCTGAATGAGTAGTATGAGCTGTATAATACATAAACATTTTTTTCTGTTTTCAATACTTTTAAGTCCAAGTCTATGGGTAGAACTCAAATTAATACATTTTTATAGTGCTTCTTTCTAGCAACCTCCTACTTCTCTTGAAGATCCCAATTGCCTTGCCCCCAGGGTAGCTTAGACATGCACATGATAGATGACAATTTGGTGCAGCTTCAGTGAACTGCCTTCCCTCTCAGACGCACTCTTGCAGATGATTTTTTTCTCAAAAATAAATTGGCAGAATTATAGTAGAATTAGTATTATGTAACTTAGTTGATCTTTAATGTAATTTACCACTCAAGAACACAGAACTAATCAGATGCCCACTGTTTCTTAAAGACTCTGTATATTTTCTATATGCCTAAATTGGTATCTGAAAATTGTTATTTTATAGATGGTTGATTGTTTTGGTTTGGTTTCGTTATGTTTTGTTTGTTTTTTAATTCATTTGCCATTTGTAAAAGTTTTAATCTCACAAATTTATTTTCCTTTTATGAATCTAGAAAAGTAATAATATATTCTTTTAACCTTTATGGAACTACTGCATATTAGAAAGTGATGAGAAAAATGAAGCACAAATACTTTCATTTTCACTCTAAAATGAAAAGGTATTGGTTGGTCACAGTGACCACAATAATACAAGCACTAAATACAGTAACTTACCCTGGGTTGTAAATGTACTATTCAAGTGAAAGAAAAAAAAGAAATAAGGAAAGCAACATGTGTTTTTATTATTATTATTAAAATTAAAATTAAAATTATATGCTTTTTGGACATATTTAAAGTTGTTTTCATTTTTTTCTTTCTTTTTTTCTTCATTTCAAAACATCAGAAATATAGCTCAATTACAGTTGGTGAACAGACCATCAAGACAGAAGTGCTTTGACAGTGAGATAAAAATTTAAGCTTTGTAATATAAACCATTCATATAAAATACATTTTATAACTAGATTAAATATTTTCTTCTTAACTTGCTATCTGACTAATTCTCTGTATCAAAGCTGAAGTATAAACACAAGGATAATGGAAAAGTCACAATTCTTATAAAAGCTAGTTTGCTACTGCTGTTCATTCTCTTATTGCTGTCAGAGCTTCTTAGAAGTGAAGATGACCATAATCCATGCATATTTATTTTTTATTGCATCCAGAAGAGTATCACTAAATGGCTCTTGCTATCTATGTCAGTAAGTTTGTGACTGAAGAAGAAACTGTCTCTCAGAAAAACATCTCAATCCTGAGTTAAAAACTGATGTTGAAGATTTATCAGAATTTCTTGACAATATGAATACTTTCTGTATTCAGAGAGACCATTTTATTTTCAGATTAAACCTTGACAACATTACTTTCCAAATCTTAGAGATTTTAATTCATGTCAGGTAGATTAAAGGCTCTTCTAAATACTACTCATGTTCTATGTAACTAATTACAGCTCTTGTCTGAATCATCTCTTAACCTTGGACTAACTAGGTCAACAGCTGCCTTTTGTGTTTCTTCCTGAACTGTAGTTTTAGATGGTAAGTCATTCTTACCATTCCAGCTCTTCTTCAAAAGATGGAAAATTATTTTTGGAGGAGTAAAGCTAGAAATGGTGGTCTCATCCATACTAAATTCAGAAGTATTTCCAAGTTCAGGTCCTCTTGTTCTACTAAAAGTCCTTTGTTTACTGAATTTAGGGACTGAGTTATTCTAGCACTGTGAGAAATTTATTTGGCTTAATTAATCAGACTTGATTTAGAGAACCTCCCTTCCACAGTTTTTGCTGTGGAAGCAAAGATTGTTTTTCCATATCTTATGCTATTTCAGAGAGAGGACCTAGGCTAATGATTTTGTAAAATTTAGTTTTGTTTTTATTTTGAGCATATCAATAGAAATAATTATTAGTACTCCAATTAATCTTCTTTTCAAATTCACTGCTGTGGAAACTGAGAGGGTAGAATATGGGATCTGCTTTTTTGTTCTTTGTTTGTTTATTTGTTTAATATAACATTTTTGTGACTCTGTCAGGCTGAGATGAAGCTTTTAAAAAACTTACTAAACAGCGTACAACTTTTTCTGAAGTCTTTCTTAAGTCATGTGTTTTGGAACCGTGACAGATGAAGATCTATTTCCCTCTCCCTCTTCTTATCATACAGTAAAGCTCAACTTTTATTTACCCATTCCTCTTACAGTCGTTCTTTCTAACACAAACTCTCCAGCCCTCAAATGATTTTTCTACCCACTGTGTGATATTCTCCTTTGGAAATAATGTTCCTGTTCACTGCCAAAGGCAGACAGATTTAATGAACCTTCTTAGGAGAGAAAATACCACCTTCCATAGTCACTGGAATACCATTTACCAGAAGAATACCGCCCACAGAAAGGCATAGCATCAGCGCTGGCTGCTGGTCAAGAAAACCAATTACTCCTTGAATATAAACAGTGGTGTTACTAGAAGTTTATTCTTTCCTCCTCTTCCTCTTCCTCTTCTTCTAATGTGTAAGATCCGAGACTAGCAGCTGTCTCAGTGCTGTCAGGAAGCTAAGATTTAATAGCATGTGGTAACAGCTATGCTTCCAGTCTATTTCCAGCCTGAACAATATGTTAACCATTGGATATAGTGCTCAGGGCAAAGTTGTTGGGAAGGCTTTGAGTTCCTGAGCTTACACAAGAGGAAGGGCTTATATAAGGAAATAAATAAGTCCAGCTCCCAGGATGAAGGGTATAATAGAAATGCATTATTGTCATAAGCAGCACCAGAAGCCATGAGCAGCATTCTCTCTTCCTACATAACAGACCCACAGATTTGTATGTCCTACCAAAAATCTGTTCCCTCGCTGGTTGGTTAACACATATGCAAGAGATCTGAAGCCTATTAGTGCCAATTCTGACCAGCTGTACTGCATGCATGCCACAGCCTGTTTCCTGAATGGGGTCTCCTGCCATTTGCTCCATTTAGAGAAGGTTAGGTTGAAATCATATAGCCAGGACAGTGTAAAAATAACATAAAATCTTACAAAGCGCTGCTTAGATATATGTGTGTGTATATATATATATATATATATACACATTTATTTCTTTTTTGTTTTGCTACACTATGTCATAAAGAGTGATGCTCAATCAAATACTGTTCTGACATAATGTACCTCTTTGTAGAGTAGATGTGGACATGTTTTCATCTTGAAAAAAGTTAAAATTACATGTGGATCTGAAAGTAATTCTAGGTCAGCAGGCAAACAAGGGTTGTCAGTGCCTCTTTTGAATTTCAAGCCATTGTTATTTTATTTCAAATTTATATATAAATTATACATTTCTTTTTACTGTTGCATTCATTTTGACACATTTTAAATTATACAGTATGGGGAGATATAGGGAAAGCTCTCGATAAAACATCTAGTTGAAGGAAATAAAAAATGCCATTGTACTCTAATATTGTAGTGTGTGTAGAAGATTTGAAATGGTCGTATAATCTCTGCTATTCCAGATGATTAACTAATAGATTAATTAGATTTATTATGAGTCTAATGGATTCTTCTTAAACACAACACTCTTTTCTAAGGTCAACCATACCCAAGTGGAGCCCAGATAAAATTTGAAGTGTTAGGCCTCGTTATAAGTAACTTAGGTGTTCCATAAAACAGTATTAGTGCCAGGAAGCATAAATATTAATAAAGATTAGTGTTGCATAGTTTGGAAAACCTGCTTGGAGAATGAACATCAGATCATTTTAATATTACAGAACTCTGTTCTCCATTCTCTGTGCTCTTAATGTCTTCTAAATGACACAGCTCCGCTTTTGGCTGGTGAAAAGGTAACTGCTTCAAACGGGCTGGAATGACAGCAGGATTTTAAAGCCAATTTTTCCCAAGCAGCTGAAAGTTAATCTGTTGGCAGAAC